GCTGAAGGCACTGTTGTCTTGCATTGGGAGGTCCTGCTCTGTTGGCCATGGAGAGACGGGCTCTCTAGCTTTCAGGACTCTCCTGCCTGTTTGTCGTCTGTATGTCTAGCTTCATGCCAGTATCACAGTGTCTCAATTCCTTTGCTTTATAGTAAATTTTGAAATCAAGGCATGTGAGTTCTCCAACTTTGAGGTTGTTTTTGGTTATTTGCGGTCCCTGGAGATTCCTTTTGAAGTCTAGGATCAGCTTTTCCATTTCTGTAAAAAAAAAAGAAATGCCATTGAAATTTGGGTAGGGATTGTACTGAATCAGGGTTGTATTGAATCTGTAGATCGCTTTAGGGAGTATTTCCATCTTAATGTGATTGAGTATTTCCATCTTAAAGTCCTTGAATCCGTGAACACAGAAATATTTCCGTTTACTTACATCTTTAGTTTCTTTCAGCAGTGTTTTGTTTTTTTCACTATCAGGTCTGACATCTCATCTCTTTGGTTAAATTTATTCCTAAGCATTTTATTCTTTTTGATGCTGTTACAAATGGACTCGTTCTAGGGATTGTTAACTCCCAGTTTATAGAAATACAACTGATTTTATAGCGTTTTTTATTTTTTATTTCATTGTTACTGTTTCTTTAAGACTTCATTTTTAATGTATTCGCTATACCCAGCATGGGGCTCGAACTCACAACGGTTGGGTCCTGCCGACTGAGCCAGCCAGGCACCCAATTTTGTGTTTTGACCTTGTATCATGGAATATTCTGGAGGTAAGCTCCTGTAATCTATGCGTAGAGATAGTGTTACCTCTTCCTTTCCATTTTGGATGTCTTTTATTTTTCTTGCCTCGCTGTTCTGGCTAGCACCTCCCACACGGTGTTGACTAGGAGACGTGAGACGGGGAAGCTTCTCAGGCTGTGACCACTGACTGTGATATTAGCAGCGTGTTTTCCATAAATGCCCTTTATCGGGTTGAGGAAGTTCCCCCTCGTCCTGGTGTGTTGTGTTTATACCACGACGGGTTTGGATTCTGTCCGGTGCTTTTTCTGCATCCGTTGGTGAGTGGGTCGTGTGGTTTCCCTCCATCCTGTGAACAGAGTCGAGGTTCCCCTATGATGAACCGCCTTTGCACGCAGCCCGTGAGCTGGAACCTGAGTCCGTCAGTTGAGTGGGGATTCAGAATAAGGGTTTCATGTCTTGTTTTTAAAGTTTTTCACTGTTTCTTGAGGAAATGTAAATACATTTTTAAATATCATGGAAGAGATGTATCCGTTTTCCTCTTATTTTCACGCCAAAGGCTGATAGAAGCATATCGGGGTGATGGTGGCCAAAAGATAGCAGCATCGCGGTTAGCAGCAGTGGAGAGCAGTAGCAATGGACGGATGCGCCCAGGCCGTGAAAGGAAATACACAGTGTAAGGGACAGGTCGGATACACATGAGCATTGAGTATGTAGAGATGACGGGATACAGATTAGGGTTTGACTTCAGGGTTTCTGTTTTGTTTCACTGGTCTGTGTGTTTGTGCACCAGTATTGTCAAAATACTATTAGAAATTTTCTAAAACCTGATTTTTAGAAAATTTCTCAGTCATTAAGCTATTAATGAATGGAAACAGTATTGAAAAGATAGAGTGCTTCCCAGATTAGCTTATCCATTGTTAATAAAAGTCCACCGAAGTGTTAGTGGTTGATAATTACTACACTTTAATTCACTCGTGAAACTGATCACGTTCGTAGTGTTTGGGGTAAATCAGGTGAACACTGGAGGGGGAGAGAGCTGGATGCAGGCGTGCGCGTGTCAGCGTCCCGCCGTGCTAACAAAAAAGGAACAGAAGAACCTACAGATAAATATACATCTAAACCTTTGTTGGGAAAAGGCTTTCTTACAAGACCAAAAGCAAAGAGAAAGATAGATGGAAAGGCGTATTAATGAAACTTTTGCTGAATTTAAAAAAGTGCCATGAATTCAAATTAAAACACAGCGCCACTGAGGGAAGAGTGATACACGTTTCCTCAGGGGTTTTACACATAATCAAACCAGTGTTTAACAGGTAGATTACACGTCTTCATTCATAGTATCTTAATGTCTCCATCTTTAAAAATGGGCATTGTGCTATCTGCATTATTGAGTTAAATTTAGAGCATCTGAAAGTCAGCCTGTTTTTGTCATCATGGTACCATTGACCCTTGAACAATACAGGGGTTGGGGCACTACCCCCACACAGCTGAAAGTCCACATAACGCGTGATTCCCTAAAAACTTTACTACTAATAGTCTCCTGTTGACTGGAAGCCCTACCTGTGACATAAACAGCTGATCGACACGTATTTTGTAGGTCATTTCATTAGACACGCTATCCTTAAAATAAGCTAGCGAAAAGAAGATGTTAAGAAAATCATATGGTGGGGCGCCTGGGTGGCTCAGTGGGTTAAGCCTCTGCCTTCAGCTCAGGTCATGATCCCAAGGTCCTGGGATCGAGCCCCGCATCGGGCTCTCTGCTCAGCAGGGAGCCTGCTTCCTCCTCTCTCTCTGCCTGCCTCTCTGCCTACTTGTGATCTCTGTCTGTCAAATAAATAAATAAAATCTTTAAAAAAAAAATTTAAAAACAAAAAAGAAAATCATACAGAAGAGAAAATACATTTACAGTGCTGGACTGTATTTATTGAAAAACATCCACATCTCAGCAGACCTGTGCAGTTCAAGCCTGTGTTGTTCAAGGGCCACTGGTAGTTCGGTTCTAGAAAGCGCACGCGTGTGCTTACGTCATGCATATGGGCTGCGGATGCCGGACTGTGGCTCCTGGGGCTAATGCTGTTCATTCTGTGCCTTTGGTCACAGCATTTCCATCAGTCGCTCAGTATCTAACCTCGTTTTATGTCTTTTTTCTTCAAAGACACTTTATTTAACATGTATGAGAGGGTCTTTTGTTTTTTTATTATTTTTCTTTTTAAGATTTTATGTAGCAGGGGGAGGGGCAAAGGGAGAGGGAGAAACAGGTTCTCTGCCAAGCAGGAAGCCAGAGGCAGGGCTCGATCCCAGGACCGGCGGATCCTGACCTGAGCTGAAGGCAGACGCTGAATCGACTGAGCCACCCAGGCGCCCCAGTTTTACATGTATTGTTGGTTCCTTCACACTGAGCTCAGGGCCATCATCACTGCGACTCATGCCTGACCTGCAGCTGATCTAACACAGCTGTTCTCTCCGTGAGACGCTAGACGGCACTTTAGCTTGTGCTCTGTGCTCGGGCCGTCCGAAACAGAATCACCAGCCAGAGCACAAAATGCAAACTATGGCAATGAAGAAGCCCTGACGAAGGCATTTGTTTACAGCACGGGCCAAAGCGGTGGGCCGAAGCGGTGGGCAGACTCAGCTGGGCGTGTGCAGGGGCCTTGCCGCTCTGCCCTAGGCCTTGGGTGTTGACTACAAAGAAGCTTTAGCAAGTGGCCAGTGCACAGGTACAGACCTGTGAGGTCTGTGAGGAGCACCCATAGTGCTTTTATTTCCTCTCTACTTCAGGATCAGGTGTGTCTTCCCGGGTGCTGTCTCGTGCGCAGATCGTCAGTAGTTTAAAGCTGTGTTCTGTTTACCACGTAGGTTAAACTAAAATACAAATACAAAGCAAGAATCTTTCTGGAGGAAAGCCTTTCGTTCGGAGTCCTGGGGGAGCACGGCCGAGGCGTCACGGAGCATTTCGGGATCAGTGTAAGTTCTCGTCTGGGGCACGTCCTCACGCAGAGCGCGCAGTGCCGTCCCACCGGACGGTCTCACCGGCACGAGGCAGCACTCCTCGTAAGTGCGCACAGCCGCGCCGCTTCCGGGTCTGTCACTTGGCTCGGCCAGAGAGGAGCGGGTCAGCCAGACTGCAGGACCCGTGAGCTCACAGTGGCTGCTCACAACATGGTGGTCTGTTGACTTGGCAGAATTCAAACGTGTTTTTCTTAAAATCAATGAGAATTCCCTGAAGTAGTCCTTTAGCAAACACCATGAGGGCGTGGAAGGGTGTACTTTCCAGTAGTTATGATTCTGAATCCTCTGTTCGTTCCCTTTATGGGTGTTGGATCGTCGTGCCCTCTCTAGAGAGTCCAGAGCAGGGCTGGCACAGACGATGCACCGCCTCGAGGTTCCAGACAGCCGGAGTGAGTTGGGCATGCGTCCTCTTGCTGCTGGGACAGGAGCCCCAACTGCCCCAGTCTTAATGGTTGGTGCCCCTGGAGCCCCAGGGAAGCAACGTCAGCCTGTCCGCAGGACCTGTCTTCACCCACCCCTGTATGACCGGTGGCTATGAAGGGAACTTCCCTGCAAATCCTGTGCATAAAAGTTTCGCAACCTGTGTTAAGAAGTTGAACTAAAGACCATGAAAAATCATCAGAGATTACCTGTATCCCACCAGCAGTACAGTCCAGAGAAAAATGGAGAGCCGGACGAATATCACACAAAATTAGATTGACACATTCTCCTCAAAGACAGACTGACATTTGGTGATAAATGCAGTGAGGAAAAGTGCATAATATGGACCTTATTTGGGTCCTGATTCCAGCAAATACTGCAGAAAACAAACTTTATGAGACAGGTATTTGAACACAGAGTATGTGACGATATTAAGAAATTTTTCACTTTTTAGGTGTGTTAATAGTTTTGTGACTATGGTTTTGGAAAGGTCCATATCCTTTAGAAATGCACACTGAGACGTTTGCAGCTGTAACTAGGTCAAGTCTGGGGTTTGCCGCAGAGAGATGATGAGGGCAGCAAGGAGCTAGCCGTGCGAGGTGCACGATGGTCCACGAGCTGGTAATTACCGAATGTGGGGGTGAGACTTGTTTCTCTATCCTCTGTACTTATTGTGTGACTGAAATTTCATGATAAGAGGTTTCTTAAAAAGAGTGCACAGATTTCCTTGTTGGGTGTGTGGACCATTTAGGAACCCCCAGATGCACTCAGACCACCGGTCGTCGCGGCCATCAGTGAGTGATTTTGATGGCTGCCGTGTGTCCGGGGTGGCCCTTGACACTGCTGCAGAAGGTGAGGGTCAGCGGGGCACGGACTTGAGAAGATGCTGGGGACTCAGCAGCCCACGGGGCACAGAGTAATTGGTTTCATTTTTGAAAAGTTGAAAGTAAATTGAATGTAGGGATAAAATGCTGAAAACTCTATTAGTTTGTGTTATCACAAGCACCTTCTGGGGGAAGGCCAGCCGGGCCACTTTACTTTATGCCTCTGAATATTTTTAGTATGAAGCAGTTTGGGATTTCATCTTTTTTTAACTTCTCCCTCCTGCCACTGTGAATAAATCGTGCGCGCATGATGAAATGGCCCAAAAGCGTAAAGTGAGCCCCTTCCAGAGGTGCACTTCGGAACACCTCTCCTCGTGACGATGACTTGTGTGTGGCTGATCCTTTGTTTAACCGAGCTGTTGGCGTGATCAGTGCGAACCTTTGTCTGCAGGCGTGATGCCGGTCTTCAACTTTTCTTTAAATTGAGGAATGACTACTGCGGTTCCACTTTCTTGGCAGATTGAGGATATCGATCTCATCAGCGCCAACATGGAGAATTCGCTCGCTTCCGTTGGAGGGTTCTGCTGTGGCAGGTCGTTCGTGATCGACCATCAGGTGGGTTCATTTCGGAAAACAAGCAGAAACTGAAACTCGTCGTCGCACTGGTCACGGTGAGAAGTTATCGCCATGTGATTTCCAGTCACTGAATTTCATTCTGACTTAGTTTACCACAATTTTTATTTAAAAGTTGATTTATTAGTAGAATCGCTCAGTATTTACTTTCGAAATTATCTCCCTGTTTAAGAAAGAAAGTCTTGCTTGTGTCACAAGTATAACTTGTGTGCGGGTGTGGGTCCTAGCACTTGGCTCTTGGTACGCACCGGTCGGAGGTGGTGCAGATCTGGTGCCGTTAAGTTTTTTAGCCAAAAAGAAAGAGCAGCATATCTCTGTGTTTAACTTGCGCGTTTCTTCTCAGCGACTTTCCGGCCAGGGGTACTGCTTTTCAGCCTCACTCCCCCCGCTGTTGGCTGCCGCTGCGATCGAGGCTCTCAATATCATGGAGGAGAATCCAGGTATGATCTTCTGAGCCCAGGACACCAGGCACCGCAGGTGACGTCAGCCGGGCTGCTGGCGTGCTTTCAGAGGAATTAGCTAGAGGGAAAGTGTTTACCACCCAGAGCTGTGCCTCCGCATGGCGGTACCCAGCATTCCCAGGGAGAATGGCGGTGAAGACGTCATCCAGCCTCAGGAATTCGTGTACAGCTGCTCCCCCGCCCAGGAGGCGAGCCAGAGCCAGAGCAGGGCTGGCTCCCAGGATGGGCGGCAGTGCCAGGAGGAGGGGCAGCTCTGGGCTAGTTGTCACTGGAGAAGTTAGCTGAAGTGCGCTGCTGGTTCTCGGTAATGTGATTTATAGCTTGTCTGGTTTCTTCCCTTCAGTCTTTGACTCACGAGTTGGTACTAAGGCCAAACCCGGTTACCAACCGTTAAAGGTTCCTTACTGGGCCAGTTTGACTAAATTTCAAATGTGCCTTTAGGCTCTGATAGCACTCCTCACAAAGCCTAAGAAATGAAAAGCAAGCCTTACCTGGTGTTTCTAAATTTAGAATTTTTAAAACTCCTAAATTCTTAACAGTTTTAGTTCAGAGGATCAGGAAATAAGACTGTTTCTGGGGGCACATTCATACGCTTGCTTCTCAGAAGGCCTGGCGCTCCTGCTCCTTGCTAGAGATTTTAGTTTTTTAATTTTCCATGGATAGAATATATCAAGGAAAAGATAGAAAACATTACTATAGTGTTTGTCTTTCACCAGATTGTTAAGGGTCCAGAAAGTTATATTTTTGTACCCTTTTATTAGCCAGATTCTTTGTAGAATCTGATGAGAACAAGAGCCATTGTTTTGTTGTGAAAAACCTCCTCCCAGATTCTGCTGATACTGAGTGAGGAGCTGGCAGGACACGTGTGCCGGTGACCAGGGCTTGGGCCTCCAGGGGTGTTCCTGTCTGTGTGCTCGTAGTCTGCAGGAGGGTTTGCAGCACTTTAAATGGATGAACTTTAAAAATCTTTAAAAATATTTTTAGATTAGTAATATCAGATCTTCTAGATACACTATCAAGTGCATTTTTTCTTCATGCAGGTATTTTTTTAGTTTTGAAGGAAAAGTGCGAACGAATTCATAAAGCTTTACAGGGGTAAGTTTTCTATATTTTCAACCAACTTAAAGTCTGTCTGTACCATATTTAAACAACTAGTGAAAAATTTTGAATGTCACCTTCTTGGTTTTGAGTATACTTAATAGGCTTAGATCAGTTCAACTGAATTACAAGTAAAAAAGGAGAAACTCCATTCAGTCCAATTTGTCTGTGGGCTTGAAGCCAGAACATCCATTTGTGGTTGAAGAACCATGACTTTTTCTAAAAAGGGCTGAAGCTCACTGATATTATAGTGATACGGATAGTTCAAGGCGAAAATAACCACCAAACATGCTCCACGCTCGGGTAAACATGGGAGAATTGCTTCCATCTGTACAGATAAAATGGTACCATTATATGCTGTAGAATTAGTTGACGCTGGGTTCATACTGGCCACAATTTTTGGAAAATAGTTACAAAGTTTTATTTTAAATTAATACAAGAAAAACAGGTGAAATTGACATGAACCTGAGGAGTTTTTACTTGTTTGTCTTAACTACACAAGAGAAACTCTAAGATTTCTCTGGAATGGAGAAAAAAATTCAGGTGGGTGGCACCTTCATGCAGATTCCTGGTCTTACAGAGGATGATCTCACGTTGCCCGAGGTATTTCCTTTGCCTTTCCTAAGATGGAAACATGTCTTTTCAATCATGAAAGTCCTGCCTGTTGACAGATGTGGAAGCTGGAAGCTTTTCTAAAGGACAAGGACAGTGAGTAAATGAGCAGATCACAGCTGTTCAGATAAAGCAAGGGCAGAAATAATTAAAGTTCTGGGTGTGTCTACACTGTAGTAACAAAAGTTCTTTTTGCATGATTTATGGAGATAGGAGATAATATTCGTGTTGGTTCCAGTTACTTGGTTTATAAAATATTAACGTGCCAGCACAGTACAGCATGTGCGAGTCACTATAAATTCAGGAACACTTGGGGCCCTTCATTCTGTCTAGTGGTGTCAGTGTGTGCACCTTGTAAGGCCAGCGCTGCACCTTCCCCAGTCTTTCCCGCCTTTGTCTCCTCCCAGGTCTTCAGGCCCCGCCCGCACTCCCCGCACCGCCCGCACTCCCCGCACCGCCCTCGCTCCCCGCACCGCCCGGCACAGCCGGCTCCACTGCTTTCGCTCAGACTCCCTCTTCTTCTCTCACAAGTCTGTCCACACACAGGCATCTGAACCAGTCTTCCGTCCAGCTACAACTGGAGAAGTTGTCTCCTGCCATCGTAGCTCTTCCCCATCAAGGGCCCAGCACCTTTGGCTGTCCCCTCTTTTTTGTCACCCTTTCTGGAGTCATTGGATTAGTGCTGGGTACACTCCACCGTCTTGTCTCTTGACCGCCTCTTCCCTCGAAGACCCACCTTCTCCTTGAGCTGCTAGTTGTCGCTTCTCCTTGTAGCCAGTCTTCTCTGGAGTTGGCACTTTGTCCTCATGATCTGCTGTGCAGCAGTCTTTCCAGACTCCTAGTGGTTTGTTTCGTTCTGTTCGTGATGGTGTATGTGAGAGTCCTGTGGTTCTGTCTTCCTGCCAGCTTCTTGGACATCTTCGTTCTTTTTCTTCTCTTAGTGCGTTGGTGTAGGTCGCTAACACACTGTTGACCTCTTCTGTCACAGAGGTGATGCCCCGTCATTCCCAGTACTAAAGCGTTTCTTCAGTGAGTATGAAGTTTCACACGGAAAGTGTCCTGAACGTGGTGTTGATCAGATTATTCCTACATTTGGAGGCTTTTTTGAAAATCATAGATTTTTGCTGAATTGCGTTGTTATAATTTTTCTGGGGTTAAACCACGCTTGCCTTCTGGAGTAAATCCCTGTTTGACTACGGTGTATTTTGTGCGCTGTTCTGCAGCCTGGTTTATTGGAAGGTCCTAGAAGGACTGGTTACATTTAAGGAAACAGGACACAGACTGCAGCGCTCGGGGTGGTTTTAAAGGCAGTTGACGTTGGCTTCTGGCGCCTCACATGAGGCTTGACGCACAGTCGTCACTCAGGAAAGCTCGGTGAGTCCTAATGTGCTGAAGGAGTCAGATGTGCTACAAAGTACCTTTTGTGCTAATCTCATTCTGAGGGAGAAGCAGAGCTTTCTAAGTGAAGCCCGCTAATCAGACGCAATCTAAAATGTCAGCTCGGGGCGCCTGGGGGGCTCAGTCAGTTAAGCGTCCGCCTGCGGTTCAGATCATGATCCCAGGGTCCCGGGATCGAGTCCTACCTCGGGCTCCTTGCTCAGCGGGGAGTCTGCTTCTCCTTCTGCCTCTGCTCCCCCGCTCGTGCAGGTGTGCTCTCTCACATAAGTAAATAAAAGTGCTTTTTTTTTAATTTTAAGAAATTTTAAAAATGTTTAGCTCAATTTCAGATAGTCATATGTCACCATTTGTAGCCTAGGAGTTGAGTCAAAAATCAAACTATTGCTAGTAACAGATAAAAATGAACTTTGAATGAACCTGTGCTGCGGTTCTCTTGCCATCTAGAATAAACATTTGAAAATGCAGGATTTCACTCCTAAGGAAATCTCTCTCCTCACCTGAGAAGCTACAGATGTCTGTGCTGTTAAATCCTAAGGAAGATGAAAATAGTCATAATTCAAGTACAACTTAACAGAAAACATGCAAATAAGAAGGGAACTGTATAATCTAAACATACTTCTGATGGTCAAAATGCAGTGTTTTTAATGTCGGAAGTCATCCCTGTAATTTGGGAAGGACGATATACAAATAAAGACTGAGGTAATGAACAGGGGCACATTATCAATCATAAGGAGTCATGAAGGAAACAGTAATAGGAGACAAGGGTGTAGACGCTTCCCTAGAGGAGGGATTTGGGAGGGAGGCCCCAGGAGGCGGTCCTCAGGCTGGGACCTGGCTTCCTGACCAGCTGCAGAGCGTAGGGAGAGGGGCAGAGGAGGAGGGGGCCTGCGGGCCCGGGAGCAGGGAGCGGCCTGCAGGAGTGAGCCAGAGGCGTCTGCCGGGACAGCAATCGCCTTCCCAGCCACACTCCCAGAGCGGCCCTGCAGGAGGATCTAGACTGGCGAGCCTGGGCAAGAGCGTGGATTTCAGCTGTCCCTCTCGGGGTTGGAGCCGCCACGTGACGCTTCCTGGAGAAGCCACAAGCCGCCATTCCATTCATTAATGCAGACGTCGGACAGTTACTTAGATGTGGGACATCCTTGTGCCCAGAAGGGACTAAACGCTTGTGTGTGTGTTTCCTTTCAGCATTTCTGGGTTAAAAGTGGTGGGGGAGTCCCTTTCTCCAGCGTTTCACCTACAGCTCACAGACAGCACCGGGTCTCGAGAAAAAGATGTTAAACTACTTCAGGAGATTGTAAATCATGTAAGTATGTACTTCTTCTACCCTGAACCCACACAATGCCTAAACGTCTAGCTGGTAGCCTTCCACTCGCTTAGCATGTCCAGAGCCAGGCCTGCATACGCGTGGGGGGTAGCGTCATGAGTCACGACGATCCCACAGAGCGGTGGCCGGCTGTCTGGGCTGAACCCCCAGCGTAGCCCAGAGACAGGTCAGAATAGTCTTGTAACCAGAAAGGAAGACAGACTGCTCGCTCCTTTCCCAGGCCTAATTTGGAGGTTGATTTAAATATCTTCTGAAGGTGATTTTACTACTAATTGTAACTTCGTTATTAACTGAGAAGTGCCTCTCTGGGGAAGGCCGTGTGCCCATCTGTGCTCAGTAGAGCCGTGTCTCCGGAGCCGGCCCCGCTCACTTGCTCCGTGCGGCTCCTCGCTGTCCTCCCTCACGGAGGGTCGAAGTGGCCAGGCAGCACCGCGAGCGAGCGGAGGGGGCTGGGGGGCCCGCCTTTACCTGATTCTGCGGCCCAGCTAGCGTGCATCTGAGAATGAAAGGCTGCATTCTGCCTCCCTGCCCCGCTCGTCCTGACGGTTCCTTCCAGGGGCTCCTGCTCCGAGCCCGTGCCACCGGATGTCAGGGCGATGGCCATCCTTTCTTGTGTGCCTTTGCCTGGCTGTGGCCACGTGGTCACGCCTCTGTCCCTGGTCACGTGGCTGCTCAGTATGGAGACGCAGGTGACGTCAGCCTCTGCTTCCCAGCTTGCTGTCCTGCGTCCTACAGTGTGAACTGTATCACTTAGAAGGACGCATCATGGAGGGCTTCACGCAGGCCCTCTGGAGTCGGTCATCTTACAAAACAAAAGCAGGCACAGAATCTGAGCTTCCTCACTGAGGAAATGTGTGATGATGAGCAGTCGGGCTGCGGTGACTCTTGCCTTCCGAGTGCAGAGATGCCACAGGTGTTCCCTCGGGTTCCGCTCTGCAAGCATGAGAAAAGTCAGACGCTCTCTCACGGATGAAACATCCCAGAGGCACCTTTTACCACCTCGGCACTTGGACCGCGATGTCACTCGAGCACATACAGAAAGTGCAGCATCCCTGTGCTTACGTGCGGCACCAGAATTGTGTGTAAATTAAGTGCAAGCTTCATGGACACAGCGTACAAGGCAGAGCCGTCACGGTGGCTTCTGTGACAGGCAAGCTTGTGCGCTGAGACTGTCCGGTGTGGGGCCGGACGCGGACTTCTGCAGAGCAGCCTCCAGGAGCCACATCCCCCGTCACTCCAGGCTCCTTCACCCGGCCCCCTCAGGACGGCTGTGTGCCCCGGTTCCACGCTACGGGACCTGGGCCGTCCCTGCGGCCGGGGCGCTCGTTCCACTGAGAGACCCCGGCAGTGGGGTTCCTTCCACTGGTGCCAGAGACACTGCAGAGGGTGGGCGAGAAGAGCATCGGCTACGCAGGCCGTGCTTGCGTTGCTCGTCCTGAGACAGAAGAGAGGGCTAGAGTCTGCACAGCTCACAGAGACCAGACTCCATCAGAGGCCCCAGCCCGAGACCGGCTGTCTCCAGGAAGTCCTCATGAGAGCTGAATCCGGGAGCAGGGCCTCTGGGGAGGGACAAAACACAGTCTGGAAACTGCACTTGCGCAAAAAAGAGAGCTCTGTCCTTGCGTCCTCGTCCGGAGCTCTGCCTCACTGCTGGTCGGTGCTGGAGAGCGGAGACTCTCGCGTGAGCTTTGCAGAACACGGAGCTCTTGCCAAGTGCTTGTTGAGTGGCTGGACAAGACGGCGGTTTATGTTTCTTAGCTGGCCCGGGCTAGGAGCAGAGCCAGTCCAGATGTTTTCAGGAGTTAGCTCCTCCAGCACACTCCAGCTGTTGCGTCAGTAAGCGTCTGCGGTGTGGCCTGCTGGGGGTTTCCGGTGGTGTGTATAGCCTCGGGAGGGCAGCCTGGCCGCGGACGGCGTGGCCCCTCTTTGGGCCGACACCCTCAGTGCCCAGCCCTGGGAATGCTTGTTCCTTCCTTTATCGGTCCCCTGGCTCTGACTGATGCTTCTTTATAATTCACAGACCAAAACATGCACCCTTTTAAAGGGCTGCAGTCAGGTGTTTGTGGGCACGCTCACAAGGTTGTGCACCTTCCTTCCAGAACACGTTCATCTCCTGGAGAGAAACCCTGATAAACCGTGACTTCAGTCTGATTTTTATACTTTCTTTATTTTGAGAGAGAATGTTTGAATTTTTAAAACAATACTGGCAGATGGTTATGGTACGGAAAAGCGACGCGAACAGTGGGGACCCCAGAGCCTTGTGGCCTGGTAGGACCTGCTCAAACGCAGGTGCGGGATGCGAGGAGCTGCTGGTGCTTGACGTGGGGTGGTCTGTCTCTGAGACCGCTCCGGTGTCCCTGTGCAGTCCGACTTCGGGTTGGGGTCCAGGACTTTGCTGTCACTGTTTCCCCACGTCCTACTCCTGCTTTGCTTAAGATGGAAAGTCCCAGCCACCTGTGGCTATTTGAATGGAGGAAGATTAAAAGTGGAGTCTCGGTGGCACTGGCCCTGTCTCACAGTGCCGGGCAGCCACACGGCTGGCGTGGTGCCCTGGGCGGCGTGGAGCGGAGGCCACCGTGGGAAGGTCATGCCGCTTGGGGCTGCTCGGGATGGGGTCCTGGTGTCGCCGTTTTGCCTTCTCACAGTTGTAACTGGATGAATGAGCGCTGCGGCACGGACAGCATCTCAGAGGCCTTCCCTGTTGTAATGACCACAGTGTCCACAGCCAGCTTGCAAACGTGTCCCTCTTCTTCCTACAGTGCATGAACAGAAGCATCGCGTTAACGCAGGCACGCTACCTGGAGAAGGAAGAGAAGTGCCTCCCTCCTCCAAGGTTGGTGACGTTACAGTGTGACTGGGCCTGTTTCCTCCCTTCAGAACTCTGTATAAAACGTGTTCTGTTCTGAAGATGTTTGGAAGGCTGTCACGGGATACGGAAGAGTGTGTCCCGTACTATGCAGTACGCCGTCTGTTTTCTCTTCTTAAACTGGCCATTTAAAAACGTTTAATGGTAAAGCCCCCCCAGGACTCACTGTAGTCCCTCAGTTAACTCAGATGTGTGAGACCCCAGGACCGAGCTCTGGTCCGCAGAGGTCTGCCACGACCCTAAGCTGCACGCGCTGTGCCGGCCCTGTCCGCCCTGAGGGCCGACCTGGGGGAGGGGCGTGTCCAGACAGTGGTCTTGACCCCATAGCTGGCCGGAGCGCCGTGTGGCACTTGAGCTGGCAAACACGTATAAACCACCCAGGGGAAAACAGGGCAACAGTGGGGAAGATCTGGAGAGGTTCGAGAAGCCGTCCGTGGAGGGGAGCGCTTGGACTCCTGATTTAAGACGGTGCTCATTCCTCAGCACTTCCCATGTAGCTGAGGATGGAGACACGAGTGCTCAGGGCCGCAGCGCAGGGTCGGCGAGGCCAGAGGTGGAGGGCGCGGTCCGTGCCCGCTTGGAAGGGACCCAGGCTGCCGAGAGCAGGTGGTGCTCGGGCCTCAAGTGTGGTCAAGTTTGTCAGACTTGCGGGTGCCCCTTCTAGCAGGGCGGGCCGTGGTGTCCAGACCCTCGGGCGCTTGCGGGGGCCAGAGCACGAGCTTGAGAGGGACGAGCCAGAGTGCCCTGGAGAACGGGGTTCCGGGGCGACACGAGTCCCGAGCACCGTGTAGACGTGGAGGTCCAGGCAGGGCTTCTGGACGACCGCTGGCGGCAGCTCCGAGGTGCGCTGAAGGCCCTGCCCCCTCGCGTCTGACCGCGCGCAGGCAGGGCTGTGATCCCGGGCTTCCGGCGCCTAGGCCACACTAGCTTTGTGCCCTCGACGCTCCCTGCCCAGCCCAGTGCCCTGTCCGGTAGGTGATACGGGTGTTTGCAGAGGGGCGAGGGGGAGAAGAGGTAGAACTGCCCAGTCAGAGCGATAGTTTTAGTTTTCGGTTTTCTGAAAACGTAACCGTTTCTGCATTGCCTCCGTGTCCCCGAGCTTCACGTGACTGACTGAGTCGTCCATGGGCGTGGGGTGCAGGCACTGACCTGAGTGTGCTGAGTCCGGCTTCGGGCCGGCATTGCCGGAGATGATGGGGAGAGGCGAACTCTGGACCTGGCTGGTCCGCGTCCAGGCCTGCGGGACGGAGGGTCCCTGCCGCACTGCGCCGCGCGGTGAGGAGGGGGCTGTAGACGGCAGGCCCACTGCTGGCCACGTCCCGGTAGGACTCGACGGGCCGGAGCAGGTGCCGGAGACGACTCTGACGATGTCCTGTGTCGTTATTTCTCAGCATCAGGGTTGTGGTCACAGTGGAGCAGACCGACGGGGAGCTGGAGAGAGCCGCGCGCACCATCAAGGAGGCGGCCCGGGCCGTGCTGCTCTAGGTCGGGGCCTCGGGCCTGCTGGGCAGCCGCCACACGGCACACGCACGGGCCTCCGCGTCACTGCCTTGTGACCTGGGCGGGGCCTGCGGGGACCTGCGGGGGTGGCCGCCGGCTGCGTGGGTGCGGACTTGCCACCCAACCGCGAGGAGGACGCTGGCTAGCTTTAAAAAGGAAACACACTGAAAGTCCAGGAACGGATTTTTTTTTAAGAAGAGAACTAATGACAGCAGATAACTGGTATTTAAATTGTGCTATTTAGTATTATTTAAGTGTTCTACTGTACTAGTATTTTGTATTCTTTTTTGTTGTTTAAAAATGGAGCTTCAGTTCACCTCCTCCCTCCAGTAGCCGAGAGCGAGCAGCAGTCCTTAGTGTTTGCTCGAGTTTACGTCTCTGCGGCGCTCGCGCTGGAGGGACACCCGTCCGGCTAGGACACAACCCCCTTCTCGAGGATCTGACTCAACCACATCCCATTCAGCCCTCGTCCAGCCCTCGTCCAGCACAGCTCAGCGGCGGCTGATGTATAAGGAAACACTTGTGTGATTAAGACAAACTTTTTGTTGTAATGTATTTGAATCCCAGAATTTTTACATACACTAAATATTGATGTTACCCCATTTCTAATACCTGATCTAACATCCCTAACCAGGGAGTGAGTAGTCACTGTATTTCTTAAGTGATCAATAATTTAAGTCGAGTACTGCTTTATTTTAATAGAATTGGCCTTCACATTTATTATGTGTTGACTTCTGATCTGTTTTAGGAAGAGGGTCACTGTGATGTTCCCAGAATAGAAATCATGTCCTTGATATTTTAGAATATCCTGAATGTAGTCCTTTTTTGTGGAGTGGGTTTGCCTGAGGACATGTAACGACAGTCTTTTTCAAAGTGAAGGAAATTTACTTTTCCTCTTAGCTTACGGATTTCAAATATCTGAAAATGTGAACGCACTAAACATAACGTTTTTAAGCTGTTCTTCAGCTGTTTTTTCTTCGGCAAACCAGGTTCGGTGGTGTAAATGTTTGTGCTGGGTGCCACGGGGTAGTGCGTAAACACTACACCATTGATTCTTGTCTTAGTAAAGGTAAAGGAATAAAATTGTTTAAAAAAATGTGTAAGAATGCCATTGTTATAGTGTGTTCATAGTAACAAATGGTCTTCAACGTCTGTTTGAATAACCTATTTTTAATATTTAGTTTCTGCTTTGCTGGAGGTATTTTGTACGCACGTGCCTTGTGATTGCTGCTGCTTTGAAGGACACGGGACTGTCTTTGGGGATGAATCTTTTGCTTTATTTTTTAATGAAATAAACCTACATTCCTAATAACCAGTCCATTTGCACGTGTAATATGTTCAACAGAATAGTCTCTTGACTTTTTTGCGTACACTGGGTAGTATTCTTGGTGTCTGTTTAGAAAATACTCATTAGATGTCTTAGTGCCTTTCTTCAGTGTGTAGTATCTGGGCTTCTGTGGGTTCCTGCCGGTCGCCCCTGGGCCGCGCTGAGCTGTTGCTGGCACTGGCAGATGGTGACAGCAACTTTGCAGAAGTTTGTGTAATGTTTTCTGAGTCACCATTTCACCATCTAGATAGTCATTGCTATGTTTTAAAAATGACAGAAGCTCCTGGAAAGAAGGTGGAAACAACACACGGTGGTTAACTTCAGCCCTTGGGAAAATCAGCATTTTGAAGAAAAAAGCAAAACTAAAGTCTTTCTTTTAAAACTACACAGTGACCAACATCCAGTTATATACGCCACAAAACATACACGCTAGGAACCACAGAGTCGTATAAAAGTGAGGCAGGATGCTGAGAGGAAACCGCTCTCCACTCTGAAGCAGGGCACACGTTTCTCGGAGACTGGAGGTTCTGCAGGGCTCTGTCTGTGACCTGGCTGGGGCAAGTGGCACAGAAGCCATTGGGGGACTGTCTTCACTTGGCGCAGGTGCCCGCGGGGTGGGAAGAGCCAGGTGACTTCCCCCCCGCTGTCGTCTACAGCCAGGCTCCGACTCAGGAAACGGGCTCCAGACAAGTAGGGACAGAAAAGAGCAGTATCTCAAAGCTGGAACTCCACACACGGGGCCGCACACATTTGTTTATGTACCACTGAAGTGCACTGTGCCCGTTGCAGGCTGCATTTCAATAACAGAAATATTATAATGTGCATTTTTAAATCCACGAAAGAAGATAAGAATCAGATGTGTAGGCCTGACGCCATCTTTCCTTGTGGACGCAAAACTGTAGTATCCCAGATGACAATGTGTGAGGACGATTATGGCCAAGTCCATCTCAGTTATCTCTGTCTTCCCAAAACACTGTCCTTATGAGGACATCAAATAAAATCACTCCTAACACACATCGACAGTATGGGTTTTGTTGTAGAGAAGACCGAGCCTTCGTGATCTTCCCCACTGTCTTGTGAAGAGGAGGAGGGGCTGGGAGGTTTAATGATGGTGGAGCACACGTGAAGTAAAATGTCGTCTCTGAGACGCAACGTAGAAAACAACACTGCAGAGATTTGAGGGGAAGAGAAATGTGAAGTATCCAGAAAAGCAGTCTTTCAGGTAAGGAGTTGGTAGAAAACAGTTTTAGGTTGGAGCTCAGTACTGTTCACAAGCCCTTCCTGAAGAGTCTGCTGGGGGACCGCTCCATTGGGTCGGGAAATAACTGGGGAAATCAGACTTAAAATAGTAAGTTGAAAAGTATTTAACACAAAAGAAAGCGATACAAAGAAGAACGGGCACACAATCAGCATGAAACGAGAAGCAGAAGCCCTACCAACCATAGAGATGATCGCGTTAGAACGTCAACGGACAAGACATTTCATCCAAAGGCTGAGGGTGGCCAACTACACAAAAACAGACTGTGCCGGGACACACCACGTTCAGAGACACGAAGAAGTAGAGAGTCAGGAGGTGAACGATGTGCCACGCAATTGAGAGCCGCAAGCTCGAGTGACCAGTGTCAGTATCAGAAAGGCTCTGAGGATAAATACTGGTACAAATAGCGACGTTTTGGAATGATGCAAAGTGCGCAGTGAAAATACAACAGTTGGAGGTGTAAATGCTCCTGAAAGCAGCGACCTAACATCCCTGAAGCAGAACTAGCGTAACTGGAAGAGCAGATAATGTAACAGTAATAGTTGGAGTCGAGCAAACCCGACGTCCGCAACTGATGGAACAGCCAGCAAGGAGGACGTGAGGAGGGCCTGGGCGGCACGTGAACCAGCTCGCGCAAACCGACTGCGTCCGTGCGGTCGTCCGCCAGGAGCCTGCGGGACCGGCCTCCCGCTGCACACGACGCCTCTGCGATAAGCCGCATGCTGGGCTGTGACCAAGTCTCAATAAATTTAAAAAGATTGAAACCATAGAAAAATGCACGTTCTCTGCCCGCAACACAACTAAGTCGGAGATTCTCGGAAACCGGAAAGGCTGCGGCAGCGCAAGTCCGCGATCAAAGGGGCGTCGCAAAGGAAGCTGCTTAAACCTGCTGAGCCACACATGGAAGAGTTCGTGTGACGCGGCGAGAGCAGGGGCCAGAAGGTTCGTAGCTCTAAATGCCCATGTCAGGAAAGGGAGGAACGTTTCCAGGCACCTAAGCTGCTCCCCTAAGACACTGGAAAAAGAAGAGCAAATGAGGCCTGAAGGGAGAAAATAAAGAATAGAGGAAATAAAATAGAAAACAGAAAAATAGAGGAAATCAGTGAAACTGTTGACAAACCCTGCAGGATTGGCCAAGAAAGTAACCGAGAAGACACAAGTGAGCAGATGAGGGCCTGAAGGGACGACAGCACCACCAGCCCCAGAGAAATTAAAAAGATTGTAGAAGAATATTACAAGTTTATGCCAGCAAATTAGACAACGTGAATGAGGAAGACACAGACTAACAAATTCTATAAGAAAAATCTGAGTAAAAGTGTAACAAATACGTTGAATTAGTAATTTCACATCTTCTCCCAAAAATGTCCAAATCCAGATGGCTTTACCAGTAAATTCTAACGTTTAAAAAACAAGCAATACCAATCATTCACAGGTTTATTTCAGGAAAAGTGGAGGAGACGGGAACGTCTCTGTTCATCCTGTTTGATTCCTGTGATACCAAAGCCGGACAGACCACAAGAAAAGAAAACTAATGCGTTTCCCTCCTGAACGTGGGTCCAAAAAGTCCCAACTGCCAGTCACAGTTTGTCTGGAGAATCTGGCCTGTGCGGTGAGGAGCGGGGAAGGAATTAGACCGGAAAAAGGACGTAAATTCATTTGCGTATGACACTATATTAGAAACTCTTAAGGCATGGGTTGAAGAGCTGCAGAATAAGTGTGTTTAAGGAGACCAGGCGGTACCAGACCAATACGTGAGGATGAATCGTATTTCTGTGCATTAGCAGCAATGTGAAACGAAATTAAGGAAACAATTCCATGAGTAATAGCATTAAAATAAGTAGGTGAATTTAACAATAGCTGTAAGACCTGTACGCTGAAAAGTATAAAAAGTAGAGAATATTGCTACGAGAAATTACAGATTTAAATAAATGGAGAGACATTCCGTGTTCCTGGACTGGAAGATTTCCCACATTGATGTACAGATTCAGTGCCGTCCTTACCAAAATTCCTGCAGATTTTATGCAGAAATCAACAAGCTGATCCTAAGATTTATATGAAAATAGAGACCTATAGTAGCCAAAAAATATTTAAAAAGAAGAGTAAAGTTGAAGGGTTTGAATGACCTAATTTAAAGAGTTACCATGATAGTGCAGTCAGCAAGACGTTACGGTACTGGGACGAGCGGGTGTCCGTGGAGCAGAGTTGAGCGTTCAGGAAGCAACCCTTACGTTTCTGGTCAGTTGGTTTCAGCAGTGCCCAAGTCCTGATTCACAAGGAAAAGGGCCGTCTTCTCCACAAATGTTGCTGAGAGAACTGCGTCTTGTAGATCAGACGACGGCCACCCAGAGAATCAAGTCCTGATCCCTGGAACTTGCAGATTTGCCTTCTCTGGAAAAGGGGGTTTGTGTCTGATATCACAGATAACTGTATCACAGATACAGTTAAGGACTTTGAGATGAGATGGCCATGGATTACAATGGTGGGCCCCCAACGCCCCCACACATGTCCTTCTAAGATAGAAGCAAAAGGAGGTGCCCCTCAGGCACACGAGGTCACTCCGGGGGGGGAGGCTGTATGAAGACAGACAGAGGGACACCAGCAACCCCAGAAGCTGCAGGCGGTAAGGAACGGGTTCCCCTAGAGATCAGGTGGGTTTTTGCCTTTATGACCTCTTGATGTAAAGTAGACCCTTGTGGGGTCCCTGAGTGGCTCAGTCAGCTAAGCATCTGGCGCCTGATGTCAGCTCGGGCTGTGCTCTCAAGGTTCTGGAGATCGGACCCCACGCTGCGCATGGAGCCTACTTAAACTTCTTTCTCTTCCTCTCCCTCCTGCTCTGCCCTCCCTGCTCTGGAGTGCTCTCTGTCTCTCTCTCAAAAAAAAAAAAAAAAAAAAAAAAAAAATTGAATTTCAAAATGTCAGCAAAGTAAAACAAGCACAGGGTTAAAAACTCAAATCGTACTGAAGGATTTCCACCCCAGCAGCGCCCACGCTCAGCCACACTCTCAGGAGGCAACCCCTTCAAGCATTTCCCCTCTGTTCCTTCTGGAGAATAAAACACTGCCCTAAATAAGTTTATGCCCGCATTTCCTCATTTATCAGCCTGAAGTCATAATTAGGATCTCCCGTTTTGAAAATACTTTGTACATATCCTTTCCCCATTCTTCTATTTGAATTACCCCTTCCCTGGTTTATTTTCCTAGGAGCTCCCAGTGGATGCCAGGCCGTGACCCTGTAGAGTTTCACGCAGCTGTGTTGTTAACAGACCTGCCATCTGTGTCTTCGCTCTCACTGGGCAGAAATGGGAATTTTGAGGTAATGAGAGCCATTGGCCTCTTTTCCTTACAGTTTATGCTTTTGTTTGAGGACTTTTTAGCATTGTTTGCTGTCTGTTGATTTCTAGTCTCTGTCTTTCATGTTCGGGACTTTATCTAGAGTCTGCTCCTGGGTCCGGGATTAGGTAGGGGCCCAATTTTATTTTTCTTCTGTATTCCATAATCCCAAGTCGTTCTCTAAACAGTCTGTTGTTCCCCCATTAATTTATTTTTATAGTTCATCTTAGACCGAGTCTCGTACAGACGTGTGGATCATCTTCCAACTGTCACCGTCCCTCAGCCTGTTCACCTGTTCCTGCGCCAGCTTCAACATGTCTTTGTTAAAGTACGGCCCTCGGGCCCCTGGGTGGCTCAGTCAGTTAAGTGTCGGACTGGCGGGTCGTGGTCTCAG